ACCATCGGGGGCAACAGGGGGTTCAGTGTCTTGCCCACAGGCACTTTGACATGTGGACTGCAGGCACCGAGATTCGAACCTTCAACCTTCCAGTTGGGAGATGACTGCTCTACTCACCACACTATCACCTTCCCCACTGCCCTAACTGTGTCAGTGTTGAGGAAACTACCAAAGCCAGAGAGAGTGCTGATTTAACATTCAAACAGTACTACTAAATTAGTCACATAATGCATATCTGCAGTGAACATCAAACAGACAAAAGGACCTAAATCATACCCTCCTTGGCAGAAGCACTACACTGAGCCTTACAATGTGTTTCTCTTAAAACTGTCTCTAATAATCAATATAAAAGAACCACACATATTAAATTCCATCTCTGTTTTGATGGGTCTGCACTGGTGGTTCCTGACATGATTTATGCCCAGTGCCTCGTCAGAAAACCTGGAATATTCCCATTACAAGCACAGCCAATCTGAGTCTCCCCACAAACTACAAGTGGTCAGCAAATGACTTGACTGGTGACCACATGTATTATTATAGCCATGAGAAGTTCACAGGAGATTCTGCAATGACACCTGACAGCATTTCCCACATGAGCTAAGCTGGAAAAATGTTTACTAAAGAGGGCCATGACCACTGACTTCAATCCCTGGCCCACCTACAGTACATGAGCGTGGGCAGGAGAAGATTCAAAACAAACCTGGCCCTGCGTGCTACACACTAACCAGGGTATATTGTTGAAAACAGAATTCAGGAAGCCCCCTAATAAAGGTGATAATCAATAAGAACTAGTATTTTGGGGAATTCTAAAAGTATTCAGATGGAAAGTGACAAGTGCGTGATCACTGCAAAGAAAAATGTCTCATGTAATGTGATCATTTCCGGACCGTTGTATGCTTATTTAATGTCCTCGGCTAAGGACAACATCATGTTGAGCATCCAGCTAAAAAAAAACCTACTATACTTGCTTGTGTTACCACTATGTAAAAATACCCTAATCAAACTAAATCACTAAGTGGTTCTGTAAGATGAGAGGAGTGTCCCAGTCCTTTCAGAAATATTGTAGGATTGCCTTAAGATAAATCATGTTCAGACAATGGACAAAGGCATTTAGACTCTCACACAAAATGACAAACTGAAAATCAAAAACAGTAAATACAGTTTCTCCTGATTTTTCTTCAAAATGTTGCCTCTCTTACCTTTTATAGACCTGTCAGGATCCATCCATCCATTGTCTATACCGCTCATCCTGAAGAAAGTCACGGGGTGTGTGTGTGTAGGGGGGACACAGAGATAGATAACCACACATACCTGCATTCACTCCTAGGGGCAAGTTACAGTCACCAGTCTGCAGGAGGAAGCCAGAGTACCTGCAGTATCTGTGTGGAGAAGATACAAACTCCACTGCAGCAAATGAAGCAAATGTGCTAACCATTGTCTCTCCATGCCATCTAGCCAGAGCAATAAGAATACTCATACTATTGACAATAATAAATTATTTTATATTACAGGGAATTTTAGCTCCACACAGAGAAAATCCAGTTAAACCCAGAATACATTATTAACAGTGTCTGACTGTAATATAGCTTTTATTGTATAATGAAAATCTTCTGCGTGATCATGACTATAAGTATTTCTTCTCTGTTGATAATACCAAAAGGAAATCATTAGTTAGTTTCTTACAGCTTTCACACTACAGTAATCCCCCAACAAGTGATGCCAATTACAGGCTAAAACTTAGTAAATTCAAACCACTGGTCTGCTCACAGCTCATGTAGCTTTTAGGTGTTAAGTCCCAGGCACCTGCAGTTCAGACAACGATAATGAGACCAGTCACTCACTAGCTTGGTGGAGGAACGCTGTGGTCCTACCAGCTCGACCTCTTGACCAAAACCAGCCAGGCCTGCAAAGAGCACAAAACATCCAAGTCTAAAAAAGTTATTTGTATACAGTGCATACACTTCCACTGTATATATAAGAAATGTGATCTCCATCAAAAAATGGAAAGGAGTGGTTACATTAGAGTAGTGTAGTATTGTGAAAAATGCTGAATATACAACATTGTTATTTAATGCCATTAAAAGTACTGGTAACATAACTGCATTTAATTAATTTTAAGTTTTTCAGCCATTCAACATTGAACATGTTTGATTTTATCCTGATGTCAAGGCGAGAAAAAGACTGACTTAAACCAGTGTTTAAATCTTTTGTTAACATTAAAAATAAACGTGACATGACTGTACCCGCTATGAATGTAAACTCAGCTGAGGTCTGAGCTGTCAGATCTGCAGCAACGCTACACATGAAACATTTAGCCACAATCTACTTCTTCTGCTGTGCAACATTAGTGCTATTGCAAATTTTAGCCTTAGGAAACTTGTTGTCATATAAGTGTGATATTTTTTCCAATAACAAAACTAAAATTCAGATATGGGAAAATAAAAATGAAGACTATGCCAAATGTGCCATAATATATTTGAGAGAACAGCACTGTTCTGGAGTAAATTACTGTAGGCTACATTACAGAGGGCTTGATGCCTTGCTTTCTGCTAACAGTGTATAGACAGGCTGTTAGATTTTTAAAACCAACTCCACATTATTAACTTTATGAACAATGATTCACTGGCCTTACAGTTGGCCCTATCTGAGCTTTTGATTAAAGCTCTGACAGTGTGTCAAAGCAAATAAAAAGTTTGACTTTATTTTTAATGTTAACACAAGATTTAAACACATTTTTACTTGGACTAGATCATTTAGAAACCGTGTTTTAAATGTACAGGTCATGATAGACAATTTGTTTATGTTTTTGTCAGTATATCCTTTGAGCTCTAGTCTCATTCTCCACTGTGTTGACAGATTCCCTCTTTCCTCTGGTTGTCATCTGGCTTTGTTCATCTGATACCAGACGCGTGGCAGCTATCAGAGGAAGACAATAGCATCTATACAATGCACAATGCTGGGATCTCCAGTACGTTTGACACCTGATTTATTTCAAGCACCTTTTCAGATTAGTTAACTATCAAACAAAGACTCCTGCTGGATGAGTGGGTGGGGTCTGAGACTCTTGGGAGTTTGAGGGGTTAACCTTGACATCTGGCCCCCGATCATCCTACAAGTTCAGGCCAGCTGCCCAAACAGGCTTGGTTTTTGCCCTAAAAACACCTAATCCGCCTGCTGAATTTCTCATATATGTTCCATTCATAGACACGTGCTGTGCGACACTGATCCCTGCTATGACGCCCATCCATATTTAAAGGGGCGTGCAGGTGACCTGTTGGTGGCCATTTCTGATACGCTTGGGCTCTCCTGCACCACCAGAATCTTGCAAAACACGTTTGGTGGATATTTCCTCAAATTACAGCAATATGATATAATGTACAATGAATTAATGGGCTTTAGTCCAGGTGGCACTCAAATGACACGTGCCACTGCCATACAAGAGCCGGGATCTGTGAAATTCAATCTGTTGATGAATGTGTAAGGATGACAATGAATATGCCAATTATCTTAGGAATACAACAGGTGACACCTCTACGTAAATCCCCAATTTACACATTTATTCATATTCAGTGTCTCACTAGGCAGGATATACAGTAGGTTAACACAGGAAGATAAAAAATTAATCATGATAGATGCTGCCAATTCTGTCACCAGACAGAAATAGCTCAAGCTAACTTCATGGGCTTGGCTGATTCCACAGTAAATACTGTAAAGACAAGTTCAATATTACTATTCCTATCAGCATAGGTGGCTCTGTCATTTATCAGTCACCTGCAGCATTTAAAGATTTGGGATTATGTCATAAGTAATTATGTATTTTCCCAGTATCCATGGTTACTACTGCTATGCATCGTGAGCTCTAACCCGCTGCGTGCAGTGGCAAATGCTGCACTGCTGAGGTGCACCTCTTCAGGGACTATTAGATTGAGGTGACAGGGGAGGGGTCGTGTTTTAACCTGCTACATGGCAGGGTGACGGGGAGGCAAATGTAGCCACAAAAGCGTCAACCGGTAAACAGCACAAGTGTTTCTTGTCCCAAAAGATTTCACACAGTCGTGTTGCACACATAGGCAAATTAGAGTGGAGTTTTAACAAGCAATCTCGCTACTCAGTTGTCAAACGATGCCACTTCTCTCTTTTACCAGGAAAGCATGGGAATTTCTCCAGAACAAAAGGAACAGCTGCTCTGAGCAGGGAGAAAACAAAAGCTTGACACAAATCAGCACAATTAAAAACACTAATCATGGTTTAACTGCCAGCGAGATCAGAGATAATTGAGAGTGGCTTTTAATTTATCCTTAAGAATGACAGCTGAATAGCAATTCACTTTACAGAAGATCTGAATCAGATCAGTGTTTGATTAACCAAATCTGCTGCAAAATGCAAGGATACATGTTGTAAAATTCTAATTCCATTTGTGATTAAAATATCTTTACAGGCTTTTGATCTTTCTGCCTCAGAATTAAAGTAGTTTTCATTTGCAGTGACTTTATTGAAAATGACAATACAATCTTGCTTGTGCTTTTCAAATTACATGATAATATCTAAATGTGTAGTGCATTGAGAATGTGTGAATATTAAGAACTGCATTGCCAAATTTGTATCAATTAGAGCGTCTGTTACAATATGGGTTAACAGCATTGTTGTCATAACACATTCAGCATCTAGACTGCAATGTGTTTCCAGATCTACAATGATATAAAACATCATTCCTGTCCCCAAACATCCAGGTATGAAAGTCTTACATATTGGCTAGTATGTAAAAATTATTTTCATATTTACCTTCTCTGTTGAAAGTACATTTGTTAACCTACTTACACACTATGCAAGTTTAATACATTACAACAGGGTCATGTGATGAGGGCTGACGTTTAATGTGTGTTTCTCGATCCAGAAAACACTAATTTGGTAACTATCTAAAGTGTTACATAATCAAAACATGACTGACATCCAGAAATGATATATCTAGTTACTTTATTGCATTACATTTCAAGGCATATGCTTAAAACAACTGTGAGACCCAGTACGCATTAACTAGCTTCAATTGGCGACCAATATGTCAGTTGAAACTATCATTTTAGGCCCATGCCATGTTGAGACAGTGCAGTACACTGAACCCATGTGTTTAGTTGTGTTGGCCTGTGCGTCAGCCTTCATAAAATTCTGTAAACTCAACCAAGCTGTGCTAACTGGTGAGATCTTTTATGAACACAATCATTTTCTTTGAAACGATGTGCCACATTACAAGCAGCATCAGGGGATTTAGTTTAGCTTATGTCTTAGTGTCTGGCAGCTGTATGTGGCCTATGGCAAGCAGCATCATATTGTCAGCAGAAGACTTATAAGAGTGCCAGAGGAGGATTGTGAGATCTGACTTGAGCTTTATGTCATCATAATCAAAAGGTTTGATGCATGCTTCATCAACATCATAAAAAAAAAAAAATCACTACGGTTTTGCACTGTTCTTTGGAATGGGGCAGACATGCACCAGCAGCACTTACTTTAATGCATGTGCAATACAGTAAACAAATTATGGCACAGACCATGACCAATTTCAAGCTATAGAAATAAATTAATTTGAACTACTCACCCCTCATATTTCATGTGAACTGAATAACCTCGAGGTCCAAACATATTCAATGTGAAATCTTTTGTTGTTTCACCATTCAAACAAAGCAGTGAGTCTATAGGATACACTGTAGACATGAGTGTAAATCACCTGTTCCACTTACATGTATGATGACTGCCAGAAATCCACACATTTGCTTTGGAAGCAAGAGAAACTACCTAAAGGAAAAAGGTCTGAGAAAGAAAATCTATTAAAAAGCCTGAGGATCACAATTAAATCACAGTTTACCGCTGCCAGTTTAGTTCAAATGAAAGATGGGTGGTGAATACTTCTTCAATTTTACAATTTTATTCCCACTTTTGAAATCTCATTTAACTTAACTCACTTTGACTGAACCTCAGACAGAATAAATCCCCAGGAAGCACATTTTCAAACATTTTACAAGTAGAACAAGTGTGCAAAAAGTCAAGAGAGGTGAATTGATATTAAAAAGTGACTATACAGTATGTACAATGGAAGTATTAAGAGTTTGGCAAGGTCCATGAACAACTGGATAACTACCAATGCAGACTAGTTAGAGCAGTTGGTAAGGCCTGCAACATGAGGAGACACAGAGTTTACACTTCAACACATGTAGGAAGGCAACCAGTGAGAAGCTTGTCCACAACAAAAACATGTCTTCTTAATTAGTATCATGTAATAATCATAATTTTATAAACCAACTCAGACATTTTTGGATTTACAAAATAGTTGAAGATCAGATCATCTTATTCCAGTACAAACATGTGTCACATGCAGCAACAGTAACTTCGTGTTGATAATAAAGGTGTGCATTTTGTCAGATTACACAGAAAAGGGGAAAAACACCCATGAAATGTTCTCTCCATAAACCAAATACCTTAAAGGCAGGCAAAGTTCAATGGCCTTGTTAGGGTACTGTATATCATTATGCATCTCAGAATTATGTATTTTGAAGCCACCCAGAACACATTCAGTAACCAAGAGATTTAGGCTTCAAGCCCAAACAGAGATTACATACTTCCAGATGAAATAACTACTTTCAGAGCAGCAGGAAATACTAACATTTAGTACATGACAAAATGCATTTCTAAGTGGTGCAACATTCATGAAAATTTTTAACTGACAAGTGTTTCTGACTGCGGACATTTGACGAGTACAGTGCAGCACATTGTGTCACCGGTGATTTGGCTTCATACAGTGTAAAGGTCAATTATTCTGAAGACTTAATATGGGAAGGTACAGTAAGTACAAAACTGATTTATAAATACCAGCAACAGGACAAGGTGAATCATGATCTATTAACAATGTTAGGTATACTGTATGATTAAAACTGGTGTGCAACTTTGAGTAAAGGATAACACATTTAACACTGTACATGAAGCATACTTTCAATACATAATTAAAAATGCAAACCTAAACATCATTAAGTGACTGGTTGAACACCTGGCACCAGTACAGGTATAGGTTTTTAAAAACAAACTATAACCTTTAGTTAGTTCATTTTAGTACCAGCAGTGAAAACTGACAGCAGCCCCGTGTGAAATCACTAGCATTTGTTCAATAAACTGGTAAACAGAATTAAGGTGCAATGTTTAACATGGAAACAACATAAGTTATGACTGAGGTGACAAATGAAATGACATAAAACAGTGAAATCAGGGCAGTGTGCTTCTGACATGAGCTGTCAAACAGTTTATGTGATGCCAGTGACTGGCTGTTTACCTCGAACTGTTATTTTCATTAGTACTCAGTGAACTGGTAAGACACATTTATCTTATATGACTTTTAGAATTGGACTGCTTTGATAAAGAAAAATAGCTCAAATACACTGAGGCACAATGCATAATGAAATTGTGACTAGAATATTATTAAAAAGGTAAAGAGATCTTAATGTCAACATGAGCTACATTTCAAAACTGTATCAGTAAGTCCTTAATACATGAATACTTAGTTAATTAAATGAATGGGTTTTTAGATTTGTTCAACCTGTACAGTGTTAACACAGTGTAACAGGTGGCTAGGGAGGGAGGTACAGGGATACAGTAGCATTTTTACTATAAAGTACCATACAAACATTAAAATAATGGGCACATGTAAACTAGCTATGGCAATGATAAAACAAGGATTGTTCGGCATATATCCACATGTGCAGCTAAGTGCCATACATACAATCTTCAGTAAAAACAGTATTTGGAGGAGATGGTCAGTCTGAGTAGACCGTTACAAAGAACTCCAAGCTTTTCTAAAGAATCAAATCAATATTAAGAGATGAGTTCAACTCAAAGATGTGATTAGAGTAAACAAGAACATAACCAGAAAAATATAAAGAACAATACTCAAATTGTGATTATTGCACTTAAAGTCAGTAAGGTTAGCCCAGGACCCTAGGTCCAAGAAAATTAAAGGACAGTTACCACAAACAATAAACAACTTAAAGTCTGTACCTGATAAAATACATGTTTGTTCTTTGTTTTTTTTAATGCACAACTCAGTAAGCTACAGAGAAAATAGAATCACAGACTGTGTCCAGCCGTTTCTTGCTCTAACTCTCTTCCAGTCTTTCTAAGAAGACCGATTCATTGCTCAGGCTACTTGATGGGAGAGCAGCATCCATCCACATCTGCAGCATAGAAGAGGCTCAGAACTAAGCTGACACTGTGTCTGCTATGGCAAGAATGTGCTTGAGTGTAGACAGCTTCATCTTATCAGCCACTTGACCATCTTTCAGCAAACAGCACACAACTGCCAATACGTCATCTAGTAAACATGGCTTTGGCTACATTTGCACCTTAAGAGTTTCTGGGCAGATGATGGTGGCTGTATGTGCATTCACAAGTCCATACAATATAGCTAAATCTAATCTTTGTCAAAAGTATGGATTTAATTTGTCTGGTGAATTTCTCATGTGCTGTTTAAGTACCTAAAATGCACTACAGCAAATATTCATAAAGTAAATCTTAAACAGTAAACACAGGACTGCTAAACAAAGATGGCAAAATACATGCCAGAACCAAAATAGCCAAAATGCTAGGAAAAAGTCTATGACAACTACATCGAATAATGTTCTAAAATAAAGACATAACTTGATCATACATTTGGCTTTGATCATCCCTATTTGTTCTCACTTATTTTACCATGACAATGATACATGAGCTACCACTAAACCTTTATTAGAAACTTTTCATCTTCTGTTTCTTTGCTTCTTCTTACTTTTTACTGAGTTTGCCCGCCTTCTTTTTTGGCTCATAGGGTGTCCGTAGAATGCTCGGTGTCTCCTCCATGACACGTACGAGCAGGTTATCGATGTAGTCTTCGAGCTCCCGGATGTGGGCGTCTTTCTTTTTCACCACTTCTTTCTGCTTGATGAGTTCCTGCACAACTTCCTGAAAGGATAAGTTGCTATAGGAGGCCATGCTTTCTTGTGTCACCTCCTGAAAATGGAAAACAAGTAAATGCTCAATTTAACCCCAGCAGACTTTGAGGTTACATGCTCCATATCCACCATATTGTGTATAGACATGTTTTGTAAAAGTAGACTAAAATGGTTGAATGATCTTCTATGAAGAGTCACCATCTGATAGCAGAGGCAAGGGTAAAGATATCCTTTAAGTTTGCTCACAGTGCAACAGAGAAAATAGACTAATTAGATGTGTTGGCACCAGTTGTGTTTATCTCTTGTTCTCTGTTGCTAATAAAGGCTAATTGAGAGTTGTTAAGATGAGACTGTTCCCCAGGGATTTAGCACTGACATCTCAGTGACTTCTCTGGTAGATGTTATGATCTAAACTGTCCAACAGTGTATACAATGAATCAACAGCATTTTAAGTCTCTAACGAGACTTAACTTTGACACTACAGAAAACAGCTATCTGAACATCTTGAGAAAGCTTTTTTTCTTTAGCTTCACACATCTAAAAGCTTTATCTCTCCAACTAGAGAGGGTTCAAGCAAAAACTCTTGCAAGCTTGCAAGTACTAAACAAATGAGATTTCCAAAATAAAGAGAATCTTTGTTTTGAGCAGGAAATGCCATGCTGCATATTTCTGCAATTCAAGGTCAGGCTAATAAATACCAAAAAAAAAGGATGCAACCCAAGCCCAGCTTTGCTCTTTGAGGACAATGTATTTGGACAGAGCAGTGTGGTACGGTATGTGCAGATCATATTGCGCGGGTACGAGAGGAGCTGTAATCGTTTTTAATGAGGGACCACTTTATCGCTTCAGTGCTGGGCATCCTCCCCGAACGGATAGAGCAGCAAAGCCTTCATCCTGTTTAAAATACCACACTTATCAGCTTCCACTCCCATGCACCATCCAAGCCTCTACTGCTGGCTAAAGACAATGCAGAAAGACCTGGAGCAGGACTGCTTACCAGGTATCTTATCGCTTCTAACAGCACTGAGGCTACTGTGGGGCGACACAAACCAAAATGAAATATTTGCCACTGAGATTAAATGTCCAGTGTAAGCAGGGTTTCAAGAACAGAGCTCAGTAACCTATTCTTCACACACAACACAAAAAGGGCACCTCACGGAAAGATACTGCACTTAAGCCATCTGAGAAGGAATAAGAAAACAGACAGCCTTATGGAAGTGGATGCTGGTTTTATGTACTAGCATGTGTATGTGCACACTATTTCTTTCACTCTCACACATGCATGCACACACAGCATAATAAAGCTTTAGTGGCTGGTGACAAAGGCCTGCAAATGACCATGAACTGGCAAAGTAATGATGACCATTTTTTTGCGATCAGTAGTGAGGAGAAGATAAGACGCACACTTGGCATTCTCCAGTTGTGTCATTACAGTTTCTAATGAGCTCAGCTTTGAGAATCTAAAAGCTCAGTCCTTTGAAATCTCTCACCGCCCTCCTTCCCCCCTGCGTGTGGTTAATTAGGGCCTTGAAGTGGAGGAAATGGGAGCTGCCATTTCTGCAAGGCACTGTGGCATGCACAGGGGCACATGTGTAGATACTGACAGCCCTCAACACTCACAAAGGAAGGTGAGGAAAGCCATTATCAGCATTCTCTTTCTCATTTAGGCATCACTTTAGCTTTGGCTCCCACTGCTCCCTTGTAAATACCAATTTTAGAGCGTGATAGTTGGCAAATTTCAGATTTTTTTTTCAAATTGCAAACACAAAAATAACTTAAAATAAAAACTATAAAAGGGTAAAATGTCAAATGTACAAATAATGTAATGATGATTAAAAAAAGAAAAATTACTGACAATTCTAGGTCTTTTCTGAATAAATAAATAAATAAAAACCTCCAATTACAGAACCAGTGCAACACACACCACTATGACTGACCTTACAGACCAAAATTTCACGCCACTTCAAATTATGATCGGATCAGACACAATCAGCGATGTGTGCAGCTGCTAATTAGCTGAGTGGCACATCTGAGTTTTCAGAGGCCTCAGAGATCAGTGTCACCAGCTGCTATGTCAAATGAAACTTAAAGAGTTCTCAATTAAAAATCTGCATGACACTACACTGAGAAGTTCTCCTCTTTATTGTATCTCATTCATTGTCAGGTAAAGCTGACAGTGTGTGTCAACATCACCTTACAAGTCACTGTCATTTTACAAGTGTCCTGCTGCCTTTCTTACATTTTTCTTGCCACAGATGTCCTTCTTCTTGTGGCCAAAGGTGATGTCTTCATTCTTTGTTGATTTTTTATCACTGCAAAGAAATAAAAAAAACAAAGTCAGCATTCACATGAAGGCATTATGGTGTGATTTTTGGGTATAACTATTGACATTCTACTAAAACAAACACTTAGATGTCTATTGTCTGTGTTGATAAGGCAAATGTGCATATATACTGCATGTGGTGACTGAGATAGTTTATCAAGAAAAAAAGCATTAGAACATGTTTTGCCTTAGTTTGTCAATAAATATTATACTTTTAATATTCATGTACCACATTATAAATGACCGCATGCTACTGCATGACAAAGGCAACAGTAAAGATGATGGACTAGTGCCTATAGAGATAAGTGGTTAATTGGGTAGTCTATCTCTGCAGAGGATCTCGTTACAATAGCTCAGAGGGCTCTGTTATCAAGCTCAGGCTCTCTAAAGAGCCACTAATGACACCTTCCACTCTGATAAATCAGAACTTAGCCACAGTGCTCACCAACTCTTGGTGCAACACAAGAAATAGATGTAGCCATCTCTGTGGAAATGGTTGAACAGCAATGCTTGACAGCAGAACAAAAGAGAAGGGGGTTTATCAGATCGCAGACTACAATCAAAAAGGATTCAAAACTTTACAAAAACACTATGACCAATAGCCTGTAGTAGAGTTGTTGCTGCATGAAGTACCAAGATCATTTATGGAATAGGATAAAAATGTATTGTAGTAAAATGCTATATATGTATAAGAATCACTGTTGTACAGGGGCTGAACGCAAATTTTAGCCATGTGTATGGAAGCTACAGTTAAGGTATGGAAGAAACCGATCACTCAGTGAAACATATTGGGAAATCAGATCTGTTTCTCAGTCCCACACACAAGCTGAAACTCACTGCTGACTTAAAATACACCACCAAATTAAAACCTTACAGCAGGTTGTCTCATATACAGTATATTTGCTGATGTGAGATGTAGATAAAGTATGGACAACTTTTAGATTTATTTTAAAGTTCAGGTTTAGTTAAGGGATGGATATGTAACAGTCAACTACAGATTTAAAATTTGTTTATCCATCTTTTTCCCCAAATCTTCATCCAATTTTTTTACACACTGATGGATTAAGATGTATTTGTGGTTATTAATACTTCTTGTAAAGTTCTACTTATAAAAGCATTTTGCAAAAACTGTTGTTCAAACGTTGTTTTATACACATATCTGACTTATAGGTCACATGACTGATTAACCAGAAACTCAGGCACCCCCCTTATAAAGGGAAGGCAGCTGAGAACAGCAGGTGAATAAAGCAGGGTGCACAGGATGGGAGTTCTGTGGCCCGTTTTAATTTTGATGAATCCAAAGGAACAACAATAACAACAAAAAAAAGGAACTACCTGGCTTTGTAGTTAGAGCTGAACGGGTTAGTGGCTGGTTGGGAATCACTGCTAAAGGGGTTGGGGGAGCGCAGGTCTCCAGAGCTGCCGAAACGTCCCCCATTATTGGTCTTGCGACCTTCCTTTTTTCCTGTCACACGTTCCAGTAGGCTGACCTTCTCTTTTTTCTCCTTCCGGTCCCACAGCTGTCCCCGCTCCCCCTCAAATGGATTGCGGTTGCGTGGGAGCGTGGCATACTTCTGTGGCAGGGCATCAGTGATATCAGTGAAAGGGTCACTGTGTGCGTTGCTGTCCTGGTAGCCTAGCACTTCGCTCTGGGAATGCCTGTGAGATCCACCTGTACTCCCAGGAAACAAACCAAAACATTACATCAACTCATGATGAAATCATATCATGCAAAGAACTAATCACTCTTAAAAATGTCAGATATGTGATTGTTAATTTGCATTATCTGTGACAGAGCTTAGGATAATCTAACCAGGCCTTTAGGACAGCTTGTTGTATTATTTATGGCCTTCAAATCAACAATTGTGTAAATCCTACCTTCAGAACACTGGTTAGGTTCCCCTGTATGCCAGTCTGAATCACCACAAAGCAGATCGTAAGCTAAACATCAAAACCAGCATATTGCACTGTCTCCCATAGCTGTGGGGTGGAGATCAGGCAGGGTGCTGAGCAATATTTATTTACTTGCCTTATGTGATTATTAGTACATTTGGAGACCAACAGCTGAGTCACTGGTAATGAGTACCAGTCCACATAGCTGCCTGATTGCTTGCAGTGTCAGTTGGCAAACATACAATTCTTACTGTGTCAAAATGACCATATTGTACCTGTAGGGTGTAACAGAATTACTAATCAGAATCAAAATCTGAATCAGAATCAGCTTTATCGGCCAGGTGTGTTGGACGTGAGGAATTTGACTCTGGTACATCGGCTCTCAATGTGTATGTACATATCCTTATGTAAGGCAATAGCAAAGGGCAAGTAAGCAATATACCAATATAAGGCTGTATAGTATAACAAATTAAACAGCATAAACAAAGCAACAAACAATGCAAATAGACAAGGAATGTTCATTAGGAAATGAGATAAAAAAATAAAAATAAAAATTATTGTCAAGTATCATCAAAAATACAAGGCCTTTGACTCCAGCCCAATGACCCCCGATGAGCACAACAATAAAAACAGAATAAATATAGAATATATACAAGTTAAAAAACATAAGTTAAAAGAAGAAACTGTCTCTGTGTCTGGTTGTTTTGGTGTACAGTGACCTGTAACACCGTCCAGAGGGAAGGAGTTCGAAGAGTTTGTGTTCAGGATGTGAGTGGTCTGCAGAAATCTTCTCTGCCCTCCTTTTGACTCATGAGGTGTACAGGTCCCCCATGGAGACATCAAACTTCCTGAGCTGGCGCAGGGAGTACATCCTCTGCTGTGCCTTTTTGATGATGGTGCTGATGGCTAATCAATACATGACTAGAATGATAATTACACATATTTGAATCAACCCCACTTTTTTAGCTGCTACATGACTCATTCATGGGAGTAGGATAACAACTTTGTTCATAAGTCAACCCATATGCAAAATATTGGACTGGTGTGGTATCCATGGCAGGACACCATGGAGGAAGCCACTGTTCTCCAATAACAACACGGCAGCAAGCCTGAAGTTTGCTACAGACCACCTTGACACTCCACAACACTACTGAGAAAATGTCCTGTGGACAAATGAAACAAAGGTAAAACTGTTTGGGAGGAGAATACAGAACTACGTATGGTGTAAAAAGAGAATCGCATACCAGCAGTGAAGATCAGATCACATTTTATGACCAATTTAGGCAGAAAACCAGGAAATTGCAAACAGCAGCTGTAGCCCATTACTTTTTCTTGTGACTGTATATATTCAGAGAGAGTGAGAGGGAACTATGAGCCTCTACAATTTGCAGTAGCATCCCATTTTAATAGCAAGTCACAAACACTATGATAACTTGGTAAGTTCCACCTGCTAGATAATTAAAACATATGGCTGTGGCTGAGGAGGTAGACCAGTCATCCCCAGCCGAAAGGTCGGAGGCTCAATTCCTGCTTTCCCCACTCCACATGTCGAAGTGTCCTTGGGCAAGACACTGAATGCCAAATGTGTGCGTGTGTCTGTGTGCTCATGTATGTTTGTGCCACAGATGGCTGCCTCAGTTCTTACCGGAGAAAAATTCCTTGTGTATGTAACATACTTGGCCAATAAAGGTGATTATCATTATCATACTACAGTGCAAAATAGTACATTTCTATCATCACTTCATCACATGCATCAAGCAACAAGAACATTTCATCTATTACACACCTGAGAGCAAACAAAAAAATTGATTAAATTAACCGGCAAATATAACAAATAAGCTCTGGTGCTCACCACTCTCGTTTATGGAGTTCATGGAGTCCGGTTTGGGCCGAGACTGGGTTCCAGTGAGATCTGACATGGAATGGGCTGCAGAGAGTTTCTGGGCCCCAGCGAGTAGTGGCCTCTTGACCTTTGCTTCAGGCTGGGGTTGTGGTTCTGGAGCAAAGGACTGATGGCTGGGCTCCGAGTCGCACACAGAAGAGCGAGGCAGGATGGCTGAAGATGCGTCACCAAAGCTGCTGTCATGTTTGCGACCCTTCATTTTGTCCTTTAGTTTGGAAAAAGGCGAGCGGGGCTTTTCCTTCATGGAGAGGTCAAACATGCTGGCTGTCATGTTGTTCCTCATGAACTGGATGCTGACTTGGATGCGGCCTCGGTCTTTCCTCTTTTTCTCTGGTTTGGACTCCAAGGAATACCAACTAAAAAAAGAGAGGAAGCTTAGCCTAAGCAAAGTCAATGAGACAATTTATATATAAAGAGCAGGACTTTAGAAAATCCTCGAGTTGATTAAAGGTAATTCAGGAACACAGGTACACAAAGTCAGAATGTCATTCTTACATTTTCAAACAATATAACAAACAGAAAAAATAGCCCACATTCTTTCTAATGCGCTCTACCTACTTCTTTGTGGACATCACTGAAAAGGCTAATTTGAGAAGACTAATCCAAAAGCTACACACAAATGCAGGGGCTTAAACCATTTGAATTTTATTTGTGAGAATACAATTGATCATTCAGAGGATAAACATTATTCATTGCAAACTTAATGTAAGAAATGGCCTGCTGCTGAATAATACAGACCATTTCAGGCTGCTCTGGGGCTTCTATTTGTTTAACCTCTATGCTTTTTCAGATGGAAGTAATGGGATTTATGCCTTCACTCTGAGCAAAATAAAGTGGCATTTGCACAAATCTGGCCTTTGTTCAGAAATGCAACGACAAGCAATTGGGAAATTGCAAAGCCACATCGTAGGGCAACATCAACAGTTCATACATGGTAATGAGACATATCCCCTGTGTTATAGGGCTTGTGACAATGTCCTTTAGGAAACCAGCTTCAAGATAAAATAATCATAAGTCTGTGTAAATCTGGAAAATGTTGGGGGTGTATTCTTAGTATTGGCCTGCACACTCATTTGTTTCCATTATGGTACAGTTCAATAAATGTTGTAACCATTTTTTTCAATATAATGAAGCCTTGAACTGAAAACATATTTGCATGATTATATTCGTTTTTATACAATTAGGCTACTGATATTTCTTCCTGGACTGAAATAAAGATTTCCAGTAGATCTTGAATTCCACCATGTAATATCAGTTATCATCTCAAACAAAAACAAAAACAAAAACAAACAAAAACAAAAAAAGTGTTGGTATTGGCTCTTGCAAAAGCTGCAGCTGTTGAACGCTATTCTAAACTGTCTAGCACGTGGCCCAGGAGCCCAGTCATGAAAGGCCTCGCTGGGTCCCATTCCCAGGCTGTGCGCCATGCTCCGCCTGATCATCAGCCACAGCATGCCGCTGCCATGGGGCCAGAGCTGCACCTCACATGTGTCTCAAGGCCAAGATAAACCTCCCTGCGCTTGGAACTACAATCCTCCCACTCAGGCCTGGACCGCTGGGAAACTCCTCACAATCAACAAACACAGGTGTGCGATAATTATGGGTTTGCTACTCAGATATCTGGACAGGCTTTCCTCCCCACTATGTCAGTTCAAAATCACTGTGAATGGACAGACCCACTGTGGAGTGTAGATATAGCATCAATGGTCCCAGCGTCATAGTCAAGTATGTCTTCAGTGTGGGGTTAGGCCAACAAGCAACGCGGGCATATCCATTACTGATCCTCTGTTGAAAAAGTGCACAGCCTCGAGGTGCATCAGCTTAGGCATGTAAAACAAATACAACCCATTCACACTGATTAGAACATATTGTGATTCTCCCAGCTGATGGGCAGAGAGGAAGTGTGCTAATGTCTCTCCACGTTGAAATGTGCAGTGAACTAATTAGCACCAGATCCAATTTGGTTATTCTGTTCCTGTTTGTTTAATGTAGGGTTGAGAAACGCATGTGCTGGACTGTTAAAGGTCGACACCTCAAAGTTTAGCCAAATATAATAGCGCCTATTCATGCTATGATGGTATGTACAGTATGTTGCTTTAGTTTACTTTGTATTCATGTACTCGATCTGCTCAAACCTTTTATACAGAACATTACCCCAGAATGTGCTGGTCATAAAATGAGTAAACAAGTCATAAGGCAAGTCATGTGTTTATGAAAGGGCTTAGACAGACACCCACTACTGGCCACCAATGTCACACCTGCAGACAACTCAGAGTTGCTACTCTTACTGGACTTGCATTCTGAGGAAGGCAAACACAGCACTCAGTCAAAATGAAAACATAAAGGGAATAAATAAATTCAAAACAAGATTCAAACCCAGGTATTTTTGGTGTGAAGTAAAGGCCATACTCCATTCACACCTTTAAAACAACTGTAAATGGGAGTGACTAACAAGACATGTTTGGCCAGCTCCACTAGTTTCAAAAAGGCCAGCTGGCACTCATCATGTCATAAATTAAACTAAAAATAACCTCACAACAATGAAGGCCAATTCATTGCTAAGCCTCAAACAACAGAGGGTCAACAAGAAATTCAGGTTCAACCAATCTGTGGTCACTGTGGGCATGAGTGAACCACCTCATCTGTGAGGTATGTTAGATCTTAAAAAGCTGTATAAGAAAATCTGGTGTTTCTCTAAGAACAGTCTACCGCCTGGGCTATAATGTATTTCTAAAACAAGTCCATAAAAACAATAAATGACAATAAACAGTATTTAAATCATGTTGTGTAAAAAAGTTAGGTCATGAACTTAACTGGGAACAGAATATAACAGACACAACACAGCACACTGACATTATTAGGTCCAGATGTGAAGCCTAATACTGAAATAACACACTGAATATGACAAATAACTAATGTAGCTCATGCTGTAATCTACTTATGACTGGAATAGTTCTGCCAGTATTTTCCATTTGCACTCAAAAGGTTTGTTCCTGTACCAACAGCACATGGCTGCATGACCGTGAGCTGGAGTTGTGCAGTACTTGAATGCTATATAAGAGTGTCACATACACAAGAGCTTGAATTGTGTACATGTGATGCTAAAGACTATTAAATGTACTATAGAAAAATTAAAGATTCAAACAAGCTGACTCAATTAAGTGGCATCCAAATGCAACAGATTTATCCCATTGTCCAAATATAGACAGCTCATTAATTAGCATTGTTACTCAAATAAAACACAGAAAATATTTATAGTGAGAATTTTGCATCAGATATTAATCTATCTTCTAATTTTGAATTAATGAAATTTTATTAAAATAAATAGACTAAATAATTTTAATAACGCATCATAGATTTATTCTGCATGAAACCTACTCCAGCAGAGTAAAACAGTAAAGGTACAGTAAAAGCGATGCAGACCTATCAAAATTTATATGTATGGTTTGCTGTGAAATTCTATGCCTTGTGGTGAAAAACAGGACACTGTTGTTGCAGTTACAATATACGACACTTACTCAGTTTTCTTTCGCTCCTTTTTATCAAAGATTTCATTAAGATTGATGCATCTCTGACCCAAGAACTTGTCCATCCCAACCAGGGACCGATGCATCACTATAAGACAGAGTTCATATACTTCTGGGTTGCCTTCCAAAAGTAGACCAGGTAACTCAAAGGACGCTTCCTCTTTCCAGACAGGGTTAAGTGTCTTCTCTGCCACAGATGTTGAGTACTTTTCCTTTCCCAGCTGGATGATAGTGTAGGCATCATTGGTGCCATTTTTGCCCTTGGGCTGTAAACCAGTTGCTTGAAGAACAGTGGCTTGGACATGGGTTGGAAACCACTTTTGAGACTGCTCAACCAGTGACATTGTCAACACTGGTTATTAATATAAAGCCATTTAAAAAAAAACTCAGTTATAATTTATGTAGTTAGTTTTCTAGTGACTGATGTGCAAAAGGCAACAACCATGATTCACTTTAGGTTGTGATCCATGTCAGTGTGGTTCACAATAGTAATCGTTACAAGCAATGACTGGTCTGAGAAACTGAGCATGCCTCATCTTCTGTCAAATCACAGATGTCCAAGCCACTGGTGAGTCATCTGAAGAACAGACAGAAACAGAACAGCATCAGTATCTTTCCCAGAACCATGGCATGACTCATGTAGACTGACAGGGAGCAGCAACATGACTTTGGTGTACTTACATGAAACAAAGAGTAAAACACACATTAGCCTGTGCTATATGATTTTGTAGGTTTTCTACAAATATCTCAGCTTCAGTATCAGCATCTGATAACCTCATGCAATGACACATCCCATCCTCACAGAATTAGTGACCGGCTCATAGCCTCATGCAATGACACATCCCATCCTCAAAGAATTAGTGACTGATTCATATGGATGATGGCATGATTGTTTCCTACTTGCAAATTAATATTATTTGGATACCGGGCTTCTGACGAAGAATATATGTCCATATTGAAGTAAAATGACCATAGGTTCTGTCAAAGTGTCTTTTTTCAGTGCCTGGGATTAGCTTAAAGGTATAGCTCCAAATCTCTACCATCGCTGTTTTTAAAAAGAAAACTCAGCTGTATATTGTATAAATGACACAGATAGTTACATGAATTCTATTAGTGTGATTTGATTTTAAAATAGCACGTCCATAGTTTGTCAAGATTAAATTCAGTTGACTACTCGTGCAATAAAATGACCTAAAACACTACTGTACGGAGCACTTACATGAAGCTTTGCTATTGTTTATCCTCTCGGTTATACTGCAGGTTAACGTTAGCTAGCTAGAGGATAGCTAGTCAATTAGCAAGCACAGAGCAGCTGCTTACCTTCGTGTCATCTTCGCCGGCATTACAAAGACATTCAGCTCATTAAAGACCGGTTTCGTTAATAAAGTTGTACGATGACTTCTAGGACAAATGTCATCTAACGCTAGTTGTTGCACTTGCTACTGTGGCTATCCATTGCTATTTACTATAGACTGCCAGCGTCGAACTTTACTCCCTGGTCTGACATCACTTCCGCCTCACCCAAGAAACGCGTCAACGAAAAGGTGCTCGCGCACCATTAGCTGCGGCTAAAAAGCAAAGCCATAAAGATGTACAGTATCTAAATATCAAGCCTACAATTGTGTAAGTGTAAAAATAAATAAGGCAAAGCCGAACAACACGAAAAAAAAGAAATTAGCCTATGTATTCCACTGACAGTTTTGACCATATACTGTATGGTGTTGACTTGTGGATTTACTGTGCAGGTAAGTATCAACGAGAAGCTATACAAATTTTTAGCTAACACACTCTCCTCAGTAAGATATGGTTGTCTCTGAGCGTGGGGATAAGTGTGCTCGGTGTGCACTTTATTTGAAAGAGGTAAATCATACAAACATGGGAAGTGCCTTTGTCTCATGAGTGGGACATGGAGGTGCAGATAAGGGGTTCACTTGAATGAACACAGACATGCTTGTCACCCTACTTGACAAGTGCATCTTAACCAAACACACCAGCCAATGTTGGTTTTATCGTTATGCCGCAACCAGTGCAGTATGTACACACCAGTGGCCTGGGGCTCCAGCTGGGCCATCCATCAAACTGAGATTATTGCCATTATCTAGAGTGCATCAATAAATGAAATACTAAGGCTTAGTGAAATATTAGGCTGTGCAAAAATGCGAGTCAGATAGCATTAAATAGTACATTTGTGGATTACATCCTCATGTTTTACATTAACCACTGGGATAAAAAATTAGGTGAATGGTATAACACAATGTCATTTTGTAACTAAAGAATGCAGATGTGGCAAACTGTTAATGTTGAAAATGAGCTCTCTTTTTAGCTCACCTAAAATGAATTTGAATCTGTGTGTGTGTGTCAGTGTGTGCTCTCTTCCAGCTTATTCAGCTTATTTGAGCTGAATAAATGTTCAAAAGGCTCCATGTTTTTATGGCTAAATGGAAATATTAACTAAATGGACATATTTTAGATGTATTGTGTTTTTTTTTAACACATTGCACATTGGGCAAGATGAGAATAATTTATATATGGTATGGCGATACAAAGTCATTGGTCATAACTTACTGTGTCAGCCGTCCCTTTCCCTCTGGGTGTCAGTCATTATGGACAATGGTGCTTTATGGCATTATTGGATTTTTTTTAACTACGTGCAGAGGATTAAAAAAAAATTAACAGACTTGATTGAACAAAACAGACATTTTTCTATCTGTAAACAGTTTTCAGTTTCATATTTTTTTTTATAAAATTCACTTTATCACAGTATATATTGATATCACATTATAAAAGTACATAGTGTGAAAGATGAGTTTAATCAAATTGCCCACCTTTACTAGAGTTTAAAGTTCTGTGGAAGGCACAACATTTTGCTGCACAGCATGAGTCTGTAATAACAGATCCACCACTGAGTCGAAGTAATAACGTTAAGAAATCATCTGGAGAATATGATTGGCTCTGACTATTGAGTGTACGGTAGCCAGCAAGTTTGAAGATAAGCAACAGCCTTAACCTGTAATACGACCATTAACTTTGTTGACAGTTGAGGACTGTGGTGAAAGTTCTTTTGAGAGGCTTCTGAGCCTGGGGAATGTTTAAAAAGTATTCACTGTACACCGGTCCTGGTTGACATCCAAGTGTATATGATTTATCCAGTCCCATCACTACACAAATTGCTTTTCAGGAATATTTTATTATTGTTGTGGTTAGTATTGTCAAGTTGAGCTGTATGTTATAATGACCAGAGGCATGCAAATTCACCATGAGGGTTATGACACTTGTCATTAATTAGACAGTAAGTCAACCACTTTCATATATTATTCTCTACTGGAACATAATACCACTACACTACACCGATGTGAGATAAAACAGAAAAGACAGTTCTAGTAGAGACCACATTAGGAGTAACATAAGGACCCAGTCTACTTTCTGAGGGAACAATGGTGAAGATCATAAACTGTCCAACATGTAAGTGAACCTGCCTGCATGGTCGTGTCCACATGCTGAACCATATTAGCTGTGGCCTCTAACGGCCATCCACTCTGTGCACATGGTTCTGGTTTAGGCACCATTCTTCAACGCTGTATAGGTTATATTACATTTATTAAACACTTTTAAAAGTTTCTGGCTGCAGGATTGTCCATATGTTGAGAACAAAAGAAAATATATGAAAGAGCCATGAAGCAGAGTGAGGAGAGGAGAAACGGTTGTTATGTCTATGCTGGTTTCAGTGTGGTGCAGGTCGAAGTTTTGCACAGATGACTGATTTAAAAAGTACAGTTTCTTAGCCGAGTGAACATTTAGATCACAGATGAATTTTAATAAAAAAAAAGAAGAAGAAGAAGGAGAAAGCCTCACAAATCACCTCTGCTTTGCTCTCAGGAATGTTTTTGTGCACAGCTTTGATATATAGGTGCAGATGTGCGAGTGCAGCCTGATGAGCAGAGCTAAAAGGGAGCTGCTAAGCTAGGGCAACATGTCAACCCGGTGACTCCCTAAAGGTCTTGATTTCTAAGAGTAAGTGAAAATAAAACCAGAAAAACTATAGCATCCACAACTCACAAGCAGGACAGGTTTATTTGTGTAGGAGGTGTCAGTCATCTACTCTGTAACCAATTATTACACAAGGTATCTTCTTCCCTGGTTTACCTTATGTGATTGTGCCACTGAGAAAAAGCTGTGCAAAATTCTTCCTTTTTTTTTTTCTCCTTGACATACAGGATCTTATATTGTGTGTTGTGGGAGCCCGGCTGCTGTCCCAGCCAGCTGGCCCTTGTGTGATCAGAACAATTGGGGCTGCATTTCAGCAGTAGCGGAGGACGTACAGTAGGGCTTAGTCAGGCTGTAGCAAAACCAGAGAGACCACTGAATCTGTCTAGCTGAAGTACCCGAATGTATCTATGCACAGAGAGGTCTTTAACTCACAGCTACATTCTGCTGCATACACAAGGCTCCACACTGTAGTTGATTTTCATTTATCAAAATACATCAAATGATTTTGATCATATGTAACTGTATAGTAGAGAAGAGTAGATTATATAACCATTGATTAAAGATACTGCTTTTAAATTCTATAAATACAAAGAAAAAGAAATACAGTTCATATCCTCACTGTGTCCCTGTAGGCCTCTAAATTATTGCATTCTTACATGCACAGTTTAATGTCAGCAACACACTCTGAGGTCATGTTTATGGGCCAGGCGAACAGGTGTCCCTCCTGATTCAATATGAAAAGACTTTACCTAGGCCAGAGGAAGCATCCAAATGTGTATAGCCTGCAGTCATCCCTGTACAGGATGAAATAATTCATCAGACCTGCTCAGAAAAGACACTGTGAGGCAAAGTTCAGAGGCATGCTAATGAGAAGCGCATGTTCGCAGAGAGAAGGAAAACTGTCAGTGCTGAATGAATTGGGAATGGCAGAAAGGAGGTTAGGCCATTTCAACCTCCTTATATCTTTGTATAATCCATGTAGAGGGCTTGCAAATATCCAGGCTTCGTAGCACATGGTGCATGCATTATGTTTTGCTCTCTGGGCTTGTGTGAATTTCTTCAGTCCAGATTTTCTACAGTGTAGCCTCTTGGATGTTTCAAGATGAAAAATTATTGCAAAAGTATGCTGCTTATCTGCAACAATTCTATTTTATCGATTGAAATGATAACATAGAGAATATTTAGTAAAATCCTGCTGCTGAAGTATTTTCCATAGCCAAAACAAAAATGCTAATTTTTTTAAGTGTTATTTAAAGTAGTTCAAAGTGATGAATGTAAAGCATGCTCTAAATGACAATTTTTCTGAGAAGGTGGAATGTATAGTGTATCTTATTTGCATAGCCAGTAAGATGGCTAAGATGGCTAAAGACTAAACATAAAAATCATACAAATCTAAAGAAGTATTACCTTAGCCCTACAGAAACAAATAAGTAGGATGTATCATTTACCAGTCTTCAAAGCTAGGAGCAAAAAGGACTCAGCGTTTTACCAGTTTCTACAAGGATCATCATCCCACACAGCTGCTGAGTCTGCATAGTTTTATAGCAATTTGCCTATGTTAAGAATCAAATTAACATTTTCTTCCACACACACATACACATACTGTATAACAATGTAGCAAAGTCACACCTGCATATGCAGTAGCTGTAAAAAAGTGGGCGATTCTTGTGGGGACTCTGGGGAGAACTGAAAATTGAAACCACACAATTAAGAACAGTTAGGTTTATATAAATATTGTATATATGAATAAATAAATGTAAATATGTGAATTATCTGCAATATTTACCAAATTAGTAGAAAATCAAATACAGTATGAGGAAAATCATTGTGCCAAAATAAAATGTATTCAGGGATGTTACTCTGATAGTGGAAAATAAACTGATGCTTTTAATATGTATCTGGATCTAGATCCAGAGTGGTTGACAATCATGAAGATTTTTGTTCTAAATTGTTCCCATGAGCATAAACTATACCACAAATTTAAAGGAGTCACACTTATATCTTCATTCAAAACCCAATTTTCCACCAAACAGACAAAAAGGACCAAAAGTGTATTCTGTATTTTAATAAACATTTTTATGTAAAACCATTTATTTGTTTTATCAGCTTATGCATTTTACATATGTGGATAACAGAGATACTGAAGATTAAGCAGTTCAGATACCCTGTTCACCAAATAAATACACTTTAAAAAAACTTTTGTTGCACTGCTTGCACAGGCTAAGACTGTACAGTTAAAAGTCATTACACATGTGTAACTATACCATGTAATGTGAGTGAATTATATTTATATGAATGAATGTATCTGTGGGTAATAAACTAAAATCCACTGACAAGTTTCGTATGAAATATTTTTATTGCTTCTGACATCCTACTGTCCCTAATGTTATCATGCATTTGAATGAATAACCTATGAAAGACATGTGAAAAACAGATAAATTGCTTTCATTTTTATGTTTTCATCCAGGGCCAAGCTACCTAAATCTTTTCATAAGAACTGGGTTTATGTGTCTGCAGTGATAATAACACTTTTTAATAACACTTTAGCCGAAAATGAAACATTGCCCTAAATGTTTCCTTGG